CTGCCGTGCCATGCCGCGCGACTCGCCCCTTCGCTCTGGCTTTTCCCTCTTTCTCACTTTGCCACCCTCGAGCTTCGACTTTCTGCTCTCTTTCCTTCTCTCTCTCTCTCGACAGCCTCCGTTGCTCCGCAGTAGATCGATAACGGCGACCATGCTCTCGCCTCTCGTACTCTGATATATGTAGAAGCCGGCACACGTTGCTGGAAAATCGCAGAGAACGCTGCCAGGGGTTGGAAGGAAAAGAGATGCATATAGAGGAGAGAAGGGAACGTAAGATATACGGTTCTAGCATCTCGAGGCCACTCTCTCAGGGCTGTAGACGGCTGTTCGCCGTGCCCAGGTTTCTTACTCTTTTTGTCTATAAGTTTCCTTCGTCCATCTTCCCCGAGATTCGGGATATCGTCGAATCGGTGAATTTCGTTCGAGGTCATGAGAAAAGCGGTTGAGCGTGACGTTGAGGTAACGGTCTCGTTACGTAAGGGGCGATGTATCTTCATTGTTGGAAGCGCTATTAGGATTATGACGGGTTAATCTCGTTATATGACGCGTGAAAATTCAGTATCGTGTTGTTTTATAATTAGACTACGGACGTTTCTGTAAATTCATACTTTTAGAATTGGTTTGTTTCGTTAGATATTAAAAAGAGTACTATACTTTGAATATTTTATACATCCTCGCATACTAAATCTTCATATATTTGAATCTTCTATAAACGCGTAAACATCCAAAGACTGTTGGTAATCATGATGATAAGATAGATTTGTGGTTGGATTACAATCTCGAGAATACATGACATACTTGATATGTTTTCTTCTAACGTAAAGCTATGAGATTGATATATCATTTTTGTTATAAAGTTGGAATAATGAAGCTTGTTCATATGAATTGTTTCATTCGCTTATAATGCAGTTCGCCGCATTTCGTTTCACACATAGATATTTCATAAAGGCAGATTCACAACTATCGGTGATTATACTTTCCAGAGAGAGAGGGAGAAACAAAGACAGAAAGAGAGAGAGAGAGAGAGAAAGGAAGAGAGAGAGAGAGAGAAAGGGAGAGAGAGAGAGAGAGAGAAAAAGGGAGAGAGAGAGAGAATATCCCCGTATGAATATACCAAACCGTTCTTTTCAACCGGTTTGCATTCAAGGGTCGAAGAAGAGCGTATATCGAATATCTAATATTAACCGACAAAAAAGGGGGGAAAATATATTGAATTTTTAATATTAAACAACAGAAAAGAAAGAAGGAATCTATATCTGGCTGTCAGACAGGGGTCGTGGTTGTATAAAAATTGGGTTGTTCATAACGAAATTAAACGCAAAGTATTTTTATAGAATTAGCATTCTGTTAAACAATTTCCGTTTGCTACCTTTCTTTATTCACCAACAAGATTTATTCATCGAGTAGATTTTACACATTTTACCATAAATGCGTCAACATGTGTCGTTTACTGGTCAGTATTTCATTATTTAATAGAAATTCCTAATAAATACAATACAAGCGACATATACTTTACGTTAAACACCACGAATTTACCGAACAACCGAATAGATCTTATGGTATCTTTCGATGAATCTCGATTTTTGTACGTAGCTCGTTGCCACGAGGGTCATAGGACGGGGTAAAGATCCTTCGACCTCTGTATCCGTGTCAACCGTTCGTTCTCTCTTCTTCTCCTTCCTGCACGACGAATCTTCCCCATCTCCATCATCGGGACACGGGACCTCGTTAGAATGCAGACGCGTCCAGGAGTTTAAGCCTGGTTTTCAAGGTCGGTACTGGCGGGTCAGCGTCACGACGCGGTTCCACGGCGCTGATCTGGATCGTGCGACGATCCAGGGTGAAGCCTTAAAACGACCATGGCTCTCTCGTGGTGAAACCAATGATCGTGCCGCGATCTCTAAGATACCTTACAGCCGGATACACTTTTAACGTTTTAACTGCCACGCTTTATCGGTAGAACTTATTTTTATTACGGACTTCGGTGCGCACGAGATTCTCTCTGCCGTTTGGAAAAGCAAATCGCGCGAGCGATATCGCGTTCACCTTTCACACGTTCCCGCGTTTCCACGTTTATTTTTTCAAACGATCGCGTGGCTTCGAATCGTTTCTCTTCTTCTTTATTGTCCTTTGGTCTATCTTGTTTTCAGTCGTTTTCATGTTCTTCTTGCAAATGGATAGGAGAATTCTGTGCTTCAGTGGAGATAATATGAAACGACAGATGGTGATGGTTTGGATATTTGGCAACTAAAGTAAGTTCGATGGGATTCGCGCAATTGGAAGAATTTTATTTGTTTTATTCTATCAATGAAGATTACTAGGTATTATAATTATTGTTTTTATTTACTGCGAAAACTCGTCCGCATATGGACATTCTATCATTGACTATAAAAACTCGTCTATATATATCCATGTTGAAACTTATCTATTCATCTATGTTACCTCATGTCTTTAATTTAATATCTTTCTACTAACGGCTTCATAAAAGGTAGCAATAAAATACACACAAACAATATAGTTCGTTTCAACCAAAAATTGTCTTCTATTCTAAAATGGATGACTTCTAATAGAAAACGTGTAACAAGAAGGTCTATTGTTTATCTAACCGGATACTACAATTTAAAAAATGTACGAATCTGAATGAATATTGTATTCTCACAGCATCTTCGTTAGTTCACCCCATTCGATTTAACGATTCTCCAATTAATTCAAGCACTTCATAATTCTTCCTCCACTCGTTTCTCTTCTTTTTTCCATCTTTCACAATCTCCCTTCATACTTTCAACGCTTACTCGCGTCTCCCTTTTCACATCACTGTAGCCATTATCCACAACCCGTATATCGTTCCCTTACGTAACACTCGCTATACCGTGTCCTCTAATTCCTCCCTGTAAATCTTATTCCTTGCTCAACTCTCTCATTCAAATTACGATTCCTTTAATGTTTCATCTCTCTTTGTTCTCCACATCTTCACATTCATTCGTTATAGATTTTGACGCGTCATTTTTCTCTTTCTTTCTTCGAGTTCTCCTTTAAGGGTGCGAAGTGTTCCACGACGACGACGACGACTCACAAAATACATATACGTATATATAGGTTGTAACTGTTTTGCGCGACTATAGTAAACGCTGCGTATTGCCTTCCTGCTCGCTCCTGCACAGCGTTATTTCTCTCTTTCTTTTCACCCTAGGTCCCCCTTTTCTTCTGTCGTTGTTACTCTCCCGCTTCTCTCGCTCTGTCCGTCGATTCTCTTTCTCGCTTCTCTTTCGGTCGATAGCTCGTGGGGGTGGTGGAGACGCGGCGACGCCCTGCCAGACCACCCCCTTACAACTTCCCCAGTGATTCTCAATCTCGATCAGATTGACGTTTTATCGGATCGACGTTTACATGGCGATACAAATAGCTCTAAATATCGCGTACGTTTCATCTGAATGAAATATTCCATTTCTTTCGTCTCGACCGCCCTTCGAAGATGGTTCTTTTCATTTCGAGAATGGACTTGCTTCATGCCTTTTTTGTGTCTTTTAGATTGTCCACATGCACAAAACTATTACGATCAACGACTTTCTTATAATTAGATATAAATTTTCGTTTGGTTGGAAACCGTGCGGGAGGAAAGTTTGAACGTCGTAGTTCGTTACCGAGCTAACGTGGATGCTCTCCGAAGCGAGCGTCTAATGGGGAACGTTTGTAAAACGTATCGATGTCTAGGGTGCATTTATTAGTTGAGAGCGTGAGGCTCGTCGCCAACAGTGGTTCTCATTTATTAGTAATTTATTTCAGGGAATATGCGTTCGTGTAATCGTGATCGAATAATGCGTACGTTGATAGCGTTCCATATTCGTTAAAACATTTTTAAATGGTTTCCGTATGTTATAGTTTCTCTATGCTTTCGTTCAGACGATTCCCAAAAGGGAGAAGCAATTGAACTATGGAAATTTAGCGATTTAAACGCAACTAATGTCTTTCATGGGAATAATTAAAGATGTTATAGGTGTCTTTCTGTATTTTTTGGCACCTGGATTTTTTTTTACCGATCATTGAATACTCATTTCGTAGTTTGACATCGCGTATTTACGGTTCTGTAAGTGTTTAACGATGTGCAATGTTTACGAAGCAAACGACCGAGCATTTTTTTTTTTATGGCGCAGATGCTAGTGAACGTTGAACGAACGGAAAGAGGGTTGCCCACCCCCGTCCGCGTCCACCCCACCGAAGATAAATCGATGCTTTTTTTCTGACTTGCCATAATTAATCTTCGTGTTGCACGGTTCGTGTGATCGGCAGTGTCGATGAAACGATTCGAAAACAAGCCGCAGTTTCTTCGCCTGTCTCCGTCTTTACAGATTTAATTTATCAACTTCTTGCGTAAGTTTAACCTTATATATTTTTATATTTTATACCTCTCATGTGTAATTTAATTTCAGTCTCAGTTTGACGTTCGACTCGTTTGAATTTCCCGCGTCCAACAATCGTTCGCCGAAACGAGTCGATTCATTCGTCATGAACCTGTCTGCACTCCTGACCGTGTGATTGTTCAAATTCCGTGAAAGAAAGAATAAGAAAAAGAAGAAAGAGAAGAGATATATATAGAGAAAGAGAGCTATACATATACAAGGAAGGAAAAAAAAAAGAAATACAAACGACTTAATCGAACGATAAGATCAGTGGGGATGACGATCTTGACGATCCGTCTCGATCGATTTCGAACGTTTGAATATTTACGAGCATTATTAGGTATATTAGTTAGATTACGAATACGCGAACTCGTTTTTAATTGCGTAGAATTAATCGCAGGTGGTTCGGAGCCAAAAAAAAAGAGAAAAATAAAACAAAACAGAGAAAATAAGAAATTCGTAAAAAAATGTAGCTGGCAGAGAGGCGTATGCCAGAGATATCTGAAAGGTGCGAGGGAAAAGAGGATGAAGAATAAATTTAATATTAAGCAAATGCATAAATATATTAAAAATGAATATATGAATATAAATATAAAGCAAATATATATATATTAAAAAAAAATTACATATTATGTATGTAAATTATAAGGCGCGTATTACATAGATATTTATATATATATATTATATATTATATATATATATTATTATTACATCATGATTATTATTATTATTATAGTATAGAGCCGTGACCTCTGGTGAAAATGAGGTTTTTTCTATTTTATTATGATAACGATCCTAGACGATAGAATACATTTTTGTCTATGCGACGTGTTTTCGAGAAAGATAGAGAGAGCGAGAGAGAGAGAGAGAGAGAAAGTGTGTGTATAAGATGCAAAAGAGAGGAACGTACGTATATATAAATATATATATCAAATAATTATATTTGTCGGAGTAATTAAACGAGATGGGACACACGAACACGAGCGTGTAGACGACGAGACGCGTAATACCGTGCAATTGACACAAACAGCTAATAGAAGCATGCACACATACATACACACACACACACACATTCATATACATGCATCCACGCGGGTAGTTGAAAAATGTACACATAAAACACGAGAACGAGGAAAAACACGCGCATTCACGTTTATATGTAACATGTATCGATTCAAGTGTATCTGTATATACATATTACATATATTATTATATACACATACTGCGTAAATAATCACAGTCGTTTGGAGAAGAGAGAAAGTGGCGTGGGGGATCGAGAAGGAGGACTTTAAAAAAAGAAAACAAAAAAAAAATAGATGATGCGAAAACGAGAAGCGGAGAATATTTAAGGAGAGAAGAGAGACACGCGCGATATTAATCGAGCAAATTAATCGAAACTCGAATGGCTCGGAAAGGTGGTGTAAAATGGGGAGAATGAGAGACACCGAGTACGTGATTAAAAAAAAAAAAAAGAAAAGAGTAATTAATTAATTTTATACTTTTTCGTGAACGTTGCGAAATGCTCAAACAAAACAAAACAAAGCATAAGAAAACAAATAAAATGACAAAAAAAAAAGATGAGAGGAGAAGTAAGAGCGAAAAGGAGGAAGCAGAAGTAGATCTTATCGATCGTGATTAACGAACTGGCGCGTATGGCTCATTTGAATGTTGGACATGTGATTCACGTTGGGCTCAAATCGATCGGTCGAGGATCGTCGGTGTGCTCGAGGAGCGTTTCGACGAATGGCGCATGAATAAAGTAACAGAAGAGCGACAAGAATGAATAAATGAAACGTATAAGAGAACGAAACGATAACCGCGACGGCGACAAGACCAAATTTAATAATTAACAAAGCTTCGTTCTGTGAAGGTTGCATTCAAACAAAGTTGCAACAATGTTAGAGGAAAACCGATGATTTATCGTTTCAACGGCAATAAATAAAGATGCAAAGTAGAAACACGTATGTAACTGTGAATATATAAATGTGGAAATATGTCTCGTAAAAGTCTGCGAACAAGGAACGAAGGAATCGCGTGACTCTTGAACGAACGCGTTGCTGACGATCGTTCAGCTGTGATCGCCGAAATCTGTCGACACAACATACGCACAAAAGAAAACCTCCGCGGGCAAACGGTGAACGAATGACGTGATAACGGTGTTCCAGATCAAACAGCGTACAATAGTTTATGATAGAAAGGGCTGGCTAAAGAAATGTTCGTCGAATCATTCCTGGGTACACCGGTGATTCGAGATGTAGGTGAATAGAGGTGAGCGAGGAGAAGGAAGACAGTCAGAGAGAAAGGAGAACGAAAGATGAAATAGAAGAAAAGAACTAAAAGATATGGTATGGTGGAATTAGACGAAGAAGAGAAGAAGGGAGGAGAGGAACGGAGGAGAAGATGAGAAAAAAAATTATTAATACAAAAATATTAATACCTAAATGCCCGGTTTATTTTTATATTTATTTTTCGATCTATGAAACGTTATAAAAGTTTAAAAGTAATATTTAAATCTAAATATATATGACGATAAATATTATATACTTACGCTCTGTGTATGATATATAAATATATATATGATTATTAATTACTATGATTATTATTATTATGATTATGATTATTACTTATTGTAATGATAATAATAACAACAAAGAGAGGAAAAAAGAAGCAACACGAACAACGGATGATTAAACATTATCCAGGACTGTACCGTATTATTACTAACCGGTACGATGCCATGTGAGCAGGTTGATATTAAAAAATGAAAGAAAAGAAAAAGACAAAAAAAAAAAGAAAAGAGGGGAAGAAGAAGAAATAACGCGTAACCTTCCTCATAAATGGAAACACATGCCCTGCTATACCATCCCCCCCGTAAAAACAAGTCTACCAATTCCCTTTATTGATTCGTAATAACCCCTCTAAATGCGTAAGTTCGTAAGAGACATCGACCCGCTCGTGTAACATTCCCGACATTAAGAAGAAAAAAAGAAAAGAAAACGAAAAGAAAATTGTACCGTAGAATTAAAGAATCCTAGTTGCTGTAAAACAAAATCATAAACATCTATATGTATGTGTATATATATATATATATTTATATATTTATGTATATATATAAACACACATATAAACATATACATATATATTTATATCAATGTAGCGTGGTTAATCTTTTAAAAGAAAGACGCGTATAGTGAGACATCATAGGTTTTTAATTCACGTAAAGACTATTAGGTGGACGTGTTTTCAGTGATCGGTCAGTAGCATCATAGCAATAAAGAGGAAAGATAAAGGCTTTATCGAATCAAAGAATCGAATCGAAATGGGACTCGTCCGATCCGTTGGGGAAAATCGTCGGTTTTCTAATCAGTCGCCTTGTATAATATCGATATTAGTTTACAATACTATTGCAACAGCTCGACGATTCTTTCTGTTCACATTAGATTAACCGTATTTGGTTTATGATTCGAAATTTTAACTTGAAATTAACAATTTATATAAGATCTGTAGTTGCTTATTTCGCGGAATGTTGCAATAAATTTCGCACACTCACAAGTTGATATTTTGAAATTTTCACTTTTAAATTTCTAAGCTTCTCGAAGTTTCTAAGTTTCCATGGCAGTGAAAATTCACATGGCTATAAATCCCAACTCGATATTCAAAATTGTAATACCTGCTTCGTCGTCTTTTAAATTTTCCGTATCGCGAGCGCAACTTTCGATCTGTGAAAACCTTGTTCGTCCCAAATTTCGTCGATCTCGGTCGTGGAAAGTCTCGCGGGCCCACGCCGGGACGCGCTCTTTTTCCCCATTCGGGAAAATCCTGTAGTCATTAGTCGGACGACGGTCGATCCGGCGATTACCGGGTCGTGGCCGATTTCGCTGCACAACGAGCGAAGTCAGCCGTGAAACGAGCGGCGACGGATAGCCCCGATGGGAACACGATGGCGGAACGAGGCCGGAACGGCAGGAATTCGTTTACCGATAAATCCGTTCGTCGTTGCCAGAACTGGATGACGGCCGAATGGCTAACAAATCGCAGCATTCTCGGTATTCGGCACACACTTTTACGCCACTCGACTCGATTTCCGTGCCGTGGCTCGCGTATCCTTCTAGCGGATCGAACGCTCTAACTGGTCCCGCAACAACGAGGATTAAAGAAGAAAAAAGAGGCGAATAAACCGAATGGAAGAAGAACATAGGATACGGGAGGAACGATTCGTTTCATTCACAAGAAGATGCTACTAGACTGAAGTGACCACGATGAAACGTCCCGTGCTATTCGATAATCCAGTGAAATAAAAATAAAAAGAGAAAAAAATCGAAAAAAAAGAAAGGTAACGGAGAACGAAAGATGACGGTAACGGGGGAAAAGGGAGAAAGGTAGTAAAGGGATAGAGAGGGAGGAAATATGCCACGTAACTGCCCAACGCTCCTATAGCCTAGTTACTTAAGTAAGACCGCGTGTACGACGAACGAGAGACGCTGACAGATCCGTTATATTTCGTATTCGCTAATCGAGTGTGCAAGGGACAGAGGGTGAGAAGGTGGTAAGAGGAAAGTAGGGCAGCGCGATGGTCTCGCGGTGAACGGTGGCGCGCGTCGACCTACCCTCGGTGCTGGAGGCGAAAAAAAAAAGAAAAAAGAAAGAAATAGAGAGAATATGAAACGGAGGAAAACGAGGAAAATAAGGACAAACGGGATGGCCGTTGGAAGTTGGAGGTAACGATGAATGGTGAAACGATAGAGGCATAGAGGAAGGAACAATGAGAATGCATCGGCGTGTATGACGGCGAACGGACGTTCAACCGAGATGAATCGCGACGCGGAACCTTTAGATCGGCACACGACTCTCCCCGAGTAACGTCGTGGCCCGCTATAGAGTAGAACTCGAGAATTTTCATATTCCCGGATCGCTCGCTCGCTCACTCATTTTCGCACTCGACTACCTAATGAACGTAATGGCTAAACGTAACGATCGATTTCGCGCTGATATAAGGTGATATACACACGTAAAATACATAGTATATATATATATATATATTTAACGTTATCTTGTATATATATATTTATTTACATACGTATATGATATATGGTACATGAATATATGATATTACGCGCATAGCTTTTCGACTGATTATCGTAACGATAAAACACACTTTGAAGGGACGAGAAGTAGATACACAGACACGTATACACACGTATGCACATATATGCACGCGAAAAGAGGCAGGACACATACAAGACAAGAGAAACACACCACCCTTGTACGCGTTTCGAGTGGAACGCAAACAAGTACACGTTTCATCCCCTTATTCGGTCCTCCGTGTGTCGGTTGTGTCGCACGAAATCTCTTTTTTCTTTTTTTTTTTTTCGTTCGTCGTCGCGAGGGTGTTCCATGAGATCGAGATCCTTGCTTGTTGCTGTTGACTCACGGTTAATCGGCGGATAAACGTATGCCAGGAAGCTGTTTGCGAAGTACGTGGAACTTCGTTCGCGTCTACGTATGTCGGGGTATTGATTTTTCAGTCGGTAGTCGAGTATTTTAAGACGTGAAGAAAAGAGTAGAAACTTAGCGTGTAAACTTACGAAAAAGGCAGGTAGTTTTTGTTCTTGTCTATGCGGAAATCTTAGCGTATTTTCGTCCGGATACGAATAATGGCAGGAAGCTCCGAATGTTTGGAAAAAAATGGGAATATACTGATTTAGAGCTGCAATGTTCTAGGTTTCTTCTCATATCTTTGCTATTAAACTATCTACTCGATGGCTATTATTTAGTAATATCTTTCAATTGATACCTGAAGATCACAGGTGGAAAATATGATTTTTTTTATAGAAGAACAATCTTAAAATTCAGTGCGCTGTCGATCAATTGCATATCAAAGCTATTTTTGATTTTGCGATTAACTACGTGTTTTTATCTTCTCCGATATTTAAAGAATATAATAAGTGTTATAAATAATATAAGTAAGTATTAATAAGTTAGTTAGACAGACTAATAACTTTTATATTTACCAAATGCTATAAAGTCAAGAAAAATAATTTATCAGATTTTCTTAATGTGATCTTCATTTATAATTAATAACGAGACTTTGCCGTAGTTTTATATAAACGAATTCAAATTACCAACAAAAAGTCTACCATCATAGTCTAGTAATTATACTGTATCTATAATTCTTCGGCGTAATACCCAGGTTATTTATTGAAAAATCAATCAAAGTGATGCGTGTTAAGAGCCCCATTTGTCTGTAGGATATTTGCCATTTTAGCGTCAAACGCAGATGGCGATGATCGTTGGCGCCGCTCGAACAATTTCCGCGCATCCGGACCAATATCGAGAAGTATTATTCAAATAAGTTCCAATAGACGAAACGTTCGAATAACGACAATATATATTTTTCTAATAAAAAGTACCATCGATAGCGTGCGCCACACTCGACATTGCCAATTAATCCGTATACTAAGGTTTGAATGGGAGAATCGAGAGAAATTGATTAATTAAACCATTGTCTTCTTCGTGATATTAAATCACGATTCATATTATTGCATACAGTTTCTATATCGAAGGCCACAAGTGAAAAACATAATAAGACACATTTCTTATTTTTTTTTTTAATAGATAAATATAGAAAAATATTAGTAATATTAATCATATAGACTAACTTACTACTATTTGTTGCTTACAAAATATCATGGATTTGTTATTTATTTTCACAAACTTAAACCTCCGAATCTATCAAAATACTTCATCAACATTTTTCATATCGGAATGTTCCTTTTTCGCCATTAAGTGATACAAAAGTCAGAAAATCAACAAAAATAGATTAGATTATTAAAAATAATATATATATATATATAATACTCGAAATATAATATCCTTTACAATCTTTAGTAAATAAAACAATTTTCTATGTAACTTCCACTTTTTCTTCTCTATCTTATTTCTATATATCTTTATACTTATCATACTTTTCTCACGTGGTCTTCGATATAAATTCGAATTTATAGAATCGATGCATTAATGGGCGATTTAATGGTAAGCTCGTTGAAAAGGAACATCGTACCTCACTGAACGTATGGTTTCCGTGAGAATGGTATAATTTCAGCAGGATCTCGTTTATCCACAAATTATCGTTCGGCGGCACGCGTTTCGAGTGATTTTCATCAGGAGAACGGATTTTCACGATGCGCGCGGATTGGCTGCCATTCGAGCGGCTCCAATTAGTCTCGCTGTTTAATGGTCGACGCCGGGGAGACTTTGTTTATTAATTGCCGTCTCGTTCTCCGCGATTTCTGCTTATATAAAAATCGAGGGGGCTATCGGATTATATTTTTACGCGAGTAAATTTGTTACGCGGTAAAAAAATCCCGTCGCAGGCTGATCGTTTGTAAGTCCGTCGCCAGCTCGTCGGTCAATCGATCGAGCTCCTCGATTCTAATCTCTGCGGCGATATCGTATTTTAATATGTATCGTAGGTGTTTTGAGAATAAAGTTTCAGTTTGTTTAGAAATAAGTAGGCTGCCGCAAGGGTGTATCTTGAGGAATACGGTTATTTATAAAAACGGGAAACTTTGCGCAAATGGTGTTACACGTGGGAAAAAATCTGTAAATTAATACATTATATATAGAAACATTTTATATGTAGAAATTTCAGTACTTGAGAATCAAAACATTCGGATGTTGAAAGATAAAAAATGTAAAAGTTTAAGTATTTAAAAATTATAATATCTGAAGATTTGAGCACTTGAATATTAGAAAATTTAAAAATTCTAATAATTAAACAAATCTTGGACTCTTTATCTGTCATTGCTTAGTTTGTTTTCTTCAAGCTATCAGTTTAATATATATAATTCTTTTACTAGTAGCAGAGAAGCAGTAAAATTTACCAATTAATTCTCATTGTTGAAATCGTGCTTGCCAATTCATCAGTTTTCGATTCATCGGAAAATTCATTTTACCGACCTTTTACACTGGAATTTGCCTGACCGAGGTTACGGAGAAGTCCCGAATCCGACGAATTTCCACAGGATTTCGAAACTAATTGACCGGCAGAGTCGGTTACAAAAGCTCGAGCTTGAAAATCTGCGGAGCTCCTAAATCTGCACCGGCAAAGAACTAAGAGGATTCTAGTTTCACCCCCGTAATATCGCCACACAAAGAATTTAATGCTATTATTTCTGCTACCGGTTATCATTTCCACCAGTCACGCCATTAAGGCATTCTCGCTCAAACTTTTTTACACAAGGTTCAACGTACTCTATCGATGAGGAGGATCTAACGAGCACCATTTCCGCAAAGTGTCGTCATTAATTTCGATCTAGATTCTCCTGCTTTTCGTCCAAGGTATCTCGACGTTGATATGATGGAATTCGAGTAAATTCACTGGCGGTTCTCTTAATAAGACGATAATTTGTGAAGGCTCGTCGACTTCAATCAAGATTATACGTTCCCAATCGTTATTTTCATACTTTTCTTAATTTTCATCGCCAAGTGTACTTAAACCGTAATTCGAGCATAAATCACGATAAACCGAACTTGAGATTTCATTTCGCCGCTTTAAAACATGAATTTTCCAAATGAAAAGCAATAACACAATGGGACAACATACGATACGTCAAGACATCGACGAACAAGGATCGACGAACTTTGCGACACGTTTCCCGGTAGACAGCACCGATTAAGGCCTAAGAAGAGAAAAACACCCACACATGCGCGTGCGGGCCGACACACGTATGGATACATAAATGACACAATAAAGAAAAGACGATGATGTAACGCTATCAATTATAACAGTACAGAGTATAACGATACAGAATACAGAATACAGAATACAGAACGATACGAATAGGTAGGCGCACACACATACACTCACGCACATACACGTATAAACAGGCGTACACACAACATACACACGTAAAAGCAGAATATAAGAAGTATATATAATAAAGAATATAAACATTAATGACATTTAATACGCTAATAATCAACCATTTTTACATACGTTACATGGTGTCATCGTTTACCACTTATCTAACGAATTTCCCTTCATGAATGTTCCCCCTGTTCTCCCTTCATCCCCCCTACCCTCCCCGCC